ATTTAATGTCCCCACTCCTTTATGATAATGTCCTATCCTCCTCCTCCTGACAAGATAATGGCCCATGGACTCCAGTCAGACATAAAACAACCACTAATCACCACTGAGTTGTAAAGCTCTCAAATTGACTGGATTTATGACTTAGTATAAAAATGCTCAAACCTGTATTATTTATTCCTAAAGGCCTTAGCCATGTGCGTCCAATGCTTTCATTCATTCATTCAACCTTTATTTATACAGGTTAGTCCCACTGAGCCTCAGGAACTCATTTACAAGAGAGACCTGAATTTTAACAAAGAATGATGACAACAGTAGACAATCAAAGGATGCGTACAAATAAAAAAAAAATAAACAAGTGAAAATAAAATGGTAATTAAAAGGAAAAGTTGCAACAACAACAAAAAAAAAACAGCTGGATTATAAGGCGGTGTAGAAAACTAAAAACAGGAACATGTCTGCGTTGGTTTTTGTCAGGAACTTAACAGATATTTGAAGACACAGAGAGGTCAAGGTCGAGTGCTCCTGTTAACTGGAATAACGTACAAAAAGATCTGAAGCTGAGGAGAAAGCCCTTTTGTCTAGTTCAGTCCTCACTGAGGGAACACTGCAGGTAATAATGTCCTGAGAGCGCACGCCGTAGCTGCACTCACGCAGAGACATGTAGGGGGAGATGTATGAAGGCAGCAGACCAAGAAGTGATTTAAAGATGAAAATGTACCAGTGAGAGAGTCTGCGTGAAGTTAATGATGACCAGTTAACCAGTGAATACAGGGTGCAGTGGTGGGTACGATAATCACAGCCAGTTATGAATCTTAGTGCACCATGATAGACAACATCCAACATCTGCAGGGTTCTTGTAGGAGCGTTCATGTAAATAATGTCGCCGTAATCAATGGAGGGAAGGAAAGTCACAGATACAAGGCGTTTCCTAGCATTTAGGGTTAGACAGGATCTGTTTCTGAAAAAGAAACACAGTTTAACTTTCAGTTTCTTTACCAAGTTTTCCACATGGAGCTTAAAAGAGAGATGCAAGTCGACCAAGATATCCAAATATTTATAGGACTGGACAAACGCAATAGGGACACCATTTGAGGATAAAATCAGAGGAAGCACTGCTGGGACCGACTCTCTGTTTGAAAAAAGCATCCATTTGGTTTTATCGGCATTAAGGAGAAGTTTGAGACGAAACAAATCTGACAAATCTTTCAGGGAGTTTTCTTTAAAACCCACCCAGTGGTTCATGAGATAATCTAAAAGACAAACACATACACTGACGCGGGCAAACATTATCATCCGCCTCGACCTTTCAGTAGCAGTCTGTAACTACGTGTTCCGATAAACTACTCCATTCAATTCAGTTTATTTATATAGCACCGTATCACAACAAAGTTGTCTCAGGGCACTTTACAGGAACATTCACATACACAGAAAAGCCAATTATTAAAGTTCTCTATCTAAGGAATCCAGCAGACAAGTTGAATGTTCACTTCATTGCGGTCTCCCAACCTGAGCAAGCACAGTGGCAACAGTGGAAAAAAAACCCTCCCTTTTAAAAGGAAGAAACCTCCAGCAGAACCAGGCTCAGGACAAGCGCCATCTGCTTTGACCGGCTGGTTTGAGAGGAACAGATACACAATGGCAGGTCAAGAATCACGTTGACAGAAATAATATCAAATGAAACCTATGCAATTTTAACAATTCGTTTAAGGAAATGAGGTCAGTTTGTCCTCCAGTAGTCTAAGCCTATAGCACCATAACAAGTCAACCATAACTATAGGATTTATTAAAAAGGAAAGTCTTAAAACAGGGCAATGTTTCAGCCTCACGGACAGAAAGTTAAACCATCATCAGCGAAGAGTTGATCACTGTGATATTTGAACAAATCAACAACTGGAGAGTTCCACAAGAGAGGAGCCTGATAACTGAAAGATCTTCCTCCCATTCTGCTTCTGAAAACTCTAGGAACCACAAGTAAACCTGCAGTCTGAGAGCAAAGTGTTCCGTTAGGAAAATATGGAACAATAAGATCTCAAATATAAGATGAAGCTAGGTTGTTGAGGGCTTTGTAGATTAGAAGTAAGATTCTGAATTCAATTACTGAATGAAAAGTGGGGCGGGGGGGGGGGGGGGGCTTCCTTTATATACTAGTTGCATCTCTCCTGTTGTTGATTTGTTCAAACATCACAGTGATCAACTCTTCGCTTATGATGGTTTAACTTTCAGCATTCACCTGCAACACAAACACACTTTGTTATGTGATGCTGCAGGGTATGGATGCTGCCACATGTGCACATTAACAGGCACAGTGAGCTGCATGTGCAAGCACACACTCGTTAGCAGAATTTCAGCCCTCTGTGCTCACAGCAATGCAGAGACACACAACTTGGGCAGCGAATGCTCCCTAACAAGCCTAAGGAGTCTGGCTCAGACTAGCAGTTACATGCCTCATTAGGATTTGTTTAAGTGTGGAAGGCTGCTTCATGTGTCCGTGTGTTCAGTGCAACAAGCTGAGGCTCCAGCTGATGGATGAGAAGCTGCAGGATAATGAGCTCAGTGGATCTTCATGCTGCAAACAGGATCCAGGTCAAGCAGAGCAGCTGCTCGTTGAAACTGTGTGTGTGTGTGTGTGTGTTGAGCTTCGTTAATTGCTGCCATCATTGCTGCTGTGCAGGACTTCTTACTGCAGTGGGTTCAAATAGAAGATAATACTTGCACCCAGAAAGATTGAGTCTAGAAAACAAGTTATCTAGAAGAGAACTTTCGGCTTTCTAGTAGCTCTCGTGTTGGTGTTAAGTAGAAGACTTGACGATCTGTCGTTTGGGTTTTGTGCATCGCCAGAGAGATTTTGGCTTCGGGCAATCAGCACGTTAAATTTACTCATGCCTGGTAATTCATCCGTGAAATGACTGAGAGGGGTGCAAGAATGTGAAAAAAGTAGTCATCATCTCTGCCACTGCTTGGTTCTGTAAAAGAACACGTGTGTGTGTGTGTGTGTGTGTGTCCCTGTGGCCTGCTATTAGCAGAGTAATGAGACACCTGTTAGTGTTGCACTCCTCCGGCATCCCGTTGTCCCTCCAGGGCAGGAAATCAGCAGTCTCATAACAGCAGAGAGGATGGTGACGGGAAGAAAGGGGGGAGGAGGGCACGGTGAGAGGCAGAGAGGGCGGAAATATGAGGAAGACCCTCAGGGATGAGGACAGGAACGGAGAGGAAGAGCAGAAATGGAGGGTGACGGTTGAGGGGGATGATCTGATGGAGACTGTGCGTTAGGGATAAATGTTATTTATTAGGAGGTCTTCTCTCGTTTGGTTTTCATTCCTCTCCGTTTGTCTGTTTATTTCCCATGCGAGTCATTTTCAGCTCTCGGGAAAGGAACTGGGCTGGCGGGAGTTCAGAAACGAGAACATTTGAGGCTTCCAGAGTGCAGCGTTGAACAACTGTGTGCCCATGACACGGAAAATTAAAGTTTTAATTTTCGTTACTGCTGCTGGTTTTAATTATCAATAAACATTATTGTATTTCAACATTAGGATGTTTTTGCCTGTGTCTGTTAGCAAAATGTCTCGTGGACCACAGGAAAAATATTAATACATTTGAGGACAGTAAGAACTGGATGGACACCTGCAATGACCCTTTAAAACCCTTTTCAAAATGGCTACCACAGCCACTGACCTTAAAGAACATAGTGATGCTTATAACTCAGTCAATTTTACAAATACTGACCCAATATTTGATAAAGGAGCTGAGACTGATCTCCAAAACATTTTTTGGTTTAAGAGGAACAGATCTTTCTCCCATTCTGCTTTTGGAAACTATAGGGACTGTAAGTAAACCTGCAGTCTGAGAGCGAAGTGCTCCGTTAGGAAAATATGGAACAATAAGATCTGTAATATAAGATGGAGCTAGGCTGTTGAGGGCTTTGTAGGTTAGAAGTAAGATTTAATTCCTTCATTTAAAATCGTCTTGTTTCAGTTTGAATGTAAACAATGTCAAATATTTCTGTCTTTACTCTGAGAAAAGCTGAACTTGGCTCAAGAATGTCCAGAAAGATTTAAACACCCCCCCCCCCACACACACACACACACACACACACACAGAGCGACTCTACTAATGATCAGTCCTTGTCAGCAGATTTACAAACAGTCTTAGACAACACATTTACGACCTTTATTCTTTTTATTGTAAACACCGGACATAAGTCAACACAGTAAGAATCCCTCATTTTGTATCAAATAAAAAAGGTGTACAAATTTACAAATACTTTTACTTTACATTGTACAGTAGGTTAAAAGGACGCTGTAGTAAACTGCATTTAATTTGAGAAATTCATTCACAGCAGCAGCTGACTGGAAATCGTTCTTCTGCCACTTTAAAAGTATTTTTGAAACGTTAACCGACTGGGACAGGCAGGAAGTTTCCATGAATGAAAAGGCACATGTCGGCGTTACGCTCGGCACTTAGAGGCTTCGGCAGAAATGTCTCTTTGATTGGCATTTTGCAGAAACATCCTGTGAAAACGCGCCAGCGTGTCCGCCTCAGAAAGCTGGTTAGAGTCATTGTGTCAAACTTCATCCATCAGAGACAGAAAGCGAAAGGCACGCGACACTTCTTATGATTGTCAGAGTTGTTTTCATCAGCAATAAATAACAAAACGATCAAACAAATGTCATGACTGACTGGAATGTCAGGCCTAAAATTAACATCAAATATAATATTTTGCATAAAAACTAAAAAAAAAGGCCAGAATTGAAGACAGCATTAGATAAAAAATATATCTGCTCCTTTAATACACACATAAGAGATGGCACATGGATAAAATACATTCTCTGAACCAGACGGACATTTAGGCACAATGTAGATTAATGAACAAAAAGAAACCGAGTGAATAGTTTAAACCATTTATGACCTAAAACTTGTGTCCGTTTCCACAGTGTAGTGTTTTTATTCCCATCTTTCAGGAACAGTTTTCAGATTACCTTTAGTGGAACTCTGCTTCACTGGTTTGATTCCTTTGGGAAGGACAGACCTGACTGGGCAGACTAGCAGCCGAACTTTGCACCAGTCCTACATTTCTGCCCTCCGATTGGTCCTCCTAACTCCACCAGCTGTGTCCTCCACCAGCTCGTCCTCCTCCTCCTCCTCATAATTCTCCTCTTCGTTAGTCTTCACTCCATTTTGGTGGTGCTCCTCCTTTCGTAGTCCCTCTTGGTTTTTTACATCATTCTGAGGGCAGCAGATGAGCGCATGACGTTCATGTAAAACCACATAAAAATAAAAAAAGCATGAAACAATGTAACTAAAACAGAACAAAATGACTTGTAAATTTTAAAACATCTTTCAAATTGAAACATACAGTGCTTTGTGAAAGTATTCAGCCCCCTTGAACTTTTCAACCTTTTGCCACATTTCAGGCTTCAAACATAAAGATATAAAATTTTAATTTTTTGTGAAGAATCAACAACAAGTGGGACACAATCGTGAAGTGGAATGAAATTTATTGGATGTGTCAAACTTTTTTTAACAAATAAAAAACTGAAAAGTGGGGCGTGCAATATTATTGGGCCCCCTTGCGTTAATACTTTGTAGTGCCGCCTTTTGATGCAGTTCCAGCTGCAAGTCTACACTGTTCAGCGATTTGTAGACATACATGAGTATTTTGAACTGGATTCGAAAGTGAACCGGTAACCAGTGCAGGGAGGCCAAAACTGGTGTGATGTGCTCTCTTTTGCCTGTACTGGTTAAAAATTGGGCTGCTGCATTCTGGACCAAGATATAAACTAAGATATACGCTAAACAAACACCAAACTAAACTTAAAGATCTAAGATATGCCAGTCATTGTTCAATGTTTTTATGTTATGAGCGCTTAGTGTATATTTAGTCTATGTTTTTCTTAGTTCATATCTTAGATGTTATTACTGTTTTTCTTATACATTTTATTGTTGGATGTAACTGGGACCCTGTGTACATAATTTTGCTCCACCACATGTACCACGAGGTGCGAATGACAATAAAGAAACTCTGACTCTGACTCATTAATAGTGCAAAATAATACACTGAACAACAGTAGCACGGTTCTCATAGGTTCTGTTCGGCTATAATTTACACGCTTAATGTGAGCACTAACATAAACTAAACTAACATAAACTAAACTAACATAAACTACACTAACATAAACTAAACTAACATAAACTAAACTAACATAAACTACACTAACATAAACTAAACTAACATAAACTAAACTAACATAAACTACACTAACATGAACTAAACTAACAAACTAAATGAACAAACTAGGATTTATTCAAAGCATGCAACAAAAATACAGGAACAAGGCGCCAAAAGTAAAAAATTAATAAATCTACAGCAGCATGGTCGTATTGGCAGAGTGGTTCTGATGACAGTGAAGTTATCTTAGCAGCATGCTACTGTTAGCAGTGAGGTTCAGTTAGTGGCGTGGTGTTGTTAGCAGCATTAGCAGGTCCCGTCCGCAGCATGATGGTAATAAGGACTGCAGCAGCTGCCCTCCAGAACTGGGTCCAGCAGACAGAGAACATCTAAGGTTCCCCCGGGGAACCAAGTGGGTCTGCAGAGTTTGGTCCGTGCAGGCAGACAGAGGATCTTGTTAGCAGCATTAGCAGGTCTAGGTAGCAGGTCCCGTCAGCACCCCGATGGAAACCGAGACCGCAGCAGCTGCCTCCCAGACAGCCCTCCAGAACTGGGTCCGGCAGACGGAGAACATCCAAGGTTTCCCGTGGAACCAAACAGGTCCATAGAGTTTGGTCTCCAGCCAAGGCTGGAAGGACTGAACCACGATGGCACGATGGCAAGGCAAAGATACAGAAAACTCCACAAGTGTGTCATGGTCATACCCGTACTGTGGATGTTCATTGTAAGAGCAAAAGAAAGTTCAAGCAAAAGCAACGGGAACAAAAAAATATCGAGTTCACCAGGAGACTGTGAAGAAGCGTCTCGGCTGAGCGTGGCCATCTAGGCCAGTAATACCAGTAAACTAAATTTATGTCAGGATGCTCCATGTTTTAATCTATTTTGTTGATGGTCTGTTTAGCAATGGAACATTGGAAATAAAATGGTGTAAGTGCTGCGAATAGATCTTTGGAATAAAAGCTGATGGTTCAGGTGTAAAGTGAAAATGATCTTGTTGATAGTTGTCAGCTTCTGGATGAAGCCTTAAGTGAAACAAAATGGGGTAATCCCTGTAGTTGCCACAAGAGCTCAAATCTAATGAGGTAACGGAAAAAAAAGTTGATATCCAGCATCACATTATGATCAAAACAAATAAAGAATTAGATTTATTTCTTTGTGGCAATGTTATTTCTTGATTTAATTTAATTTTTAACTTAGAACGTGTTTGTTAAAGGCCTGTGGAAGGACGCAGGTCATTTCAAGGATTCTGTTAATAACAGGAGACTCACCTGTTCTGCATTCTCCTCATTATATGGATCTTCTTCAACTCCTTCTTCTTCTCTTTTCTGCCCACCAGCTATGTCTTCCTGGGCCTTAAGCAGGACAAAGTCATTACAACAAGCCTACAATGTAGTAAACAGATCACTCCCTCTGACAGAACCACTCGCCCCACATGAAAATCATGACATGTACTAAAAGAATAAACGTCTGTATTTGTACATGACCAGTTTACTGCAGCTTGGGGAGACACAAACATTGATGCATAATCAACACCCCGCGCGGCGCAGCAGCCAAACCTCCCAGGACTTTAAAATTTAACATGGAATTAAATGCTAAAGTCAAGCTTTAGGAGTTTATCACTAGGGCTGAGTACCGAACCGAGGTTCTTTTATGGCACCGACCGAACTGCACCGGTCGGTGTATGGATTGAAATGTCACTCTTTTTTCGGTGTCAAGTTTTGGTATCGGCTGTAACGTGTCACGTGGTTTCAGCACGCAGGCAGGTAAAACACCAGACGTATAACAAAACAGACTACGTGTTTACACCCAGAGCTGTATAGAGCTGCTATTCTATGTACAATGTATGTCTATGGTGCTGGTGACGCCCACAGACAGGGTTCACGTGTGCAGCGCGTGTTGTCAAAGGGCTCCGACAACACACGTGCAGAAAGTTGCTCTGTGTTTCTCTGCAAGAAGAGAGACGGACAGCAGCTTCCTCCCCCCTCCTCCTCTCAGCGTGAGTCAGTCTCTGTGTGTGGGTGAAACGGACTGAATCAACATCTCCACAGCCGGACTCGTCTTCATCAAAGAACTCCCGAGGACGGCTCTGTGTTTCAACTGGTGAGTTTACGTCTGTTAACCTGACTGAAAAATGTTGGATTTTATACCTGGATTATTGAGCATGGACTTTGTTACGTTTGTTAACGTTATTGCAGCTTAACACATACATTGCGGTGAAATAATGCTAACTTTAAGATATTAGTGTGTAAATTGATTTTATCTGCGTAGCTAGCTAAACTCAGAAGCTAACTAAAGATTGACGTAACAGATAAATCTTAGCTTGTAAAAATGTGCTCATCCATCCAGTCAGCTGCTTAAACAGTTCACTAATGTTCACTGTTCATGTTAATGCTCTCCTCACAGGAAGTTCTGACCCAGATGTGAGGACAGACAGAAAGTGAGGTGGAGGCCACAGGACAATTAGACTTTGTTGTTAAAAGTTTGCTGTCTTTTCTACAGTGGAGCTGCATGGTGGAGGTAAGTTAAGCTGTAAAATATTTTGTCGACCAGTTAAACTTCTATCTCTCAGCCTAGATAATGTTTTTTGAGCAATAATAACACAACCATGTTATTGTTGATGTTTTGTTCTCATGTCAATTAGGGAGATGATCAGAGCCCTAAACCACAGAGAACCACAGAGAAGATTCAGGCAGAGACACAGAGGTGCAGAAGTCTGCATCAACCCTAACTTCAGTGAATCCAGTGACTTGCTGGTGGGATGTGAGGGACAATATGTCAGTGCTGTCAAACTGACAACCAGGTATCTGTGTGTGCAACAAGCATCATCCACACCCTCAGAGTGAACACTTCCTACTGCTGGAGACACCATCAGCCAGGAGCGGGCTTGTTTGTGTCCACAGAAAGCAGACATGTTGTTGTTTCTGAAGAAAAACTGTTCAGTGAAAAGGTCCTCAGTGTGTAGCAGTGAGCATTAGACACTGACGTGTCACTTGTTGTTCGCAACTGTTCTTTTGATCTGGAAAATTATTGGTTTATTTTAATGTAAGAAAACTGCTTGGAATAGAAATACCAAAGTTAAAAATAAAATTCACAATTTGTACTGTAATGTGTAACGTAATTTTATTCTTGTTAGAATTAATAGTAATTACAAAATTGGTACCGAAAAAAGAACCGTCCAGGAACCGACACCGAAGTGAAGGTACCGACACCGGTACAGATACAGATTTTTTTTAGAAAGGTACCCAACCCTATTTATCACTACAGTCACAATGAGTTGTGCACATTTACATTATGAGGGTTTTATGTGTGAAAAATCAAATTTATGGACTTTGTTAAAAGTTCTTGAACATTACAAGACAAAACAGCATAATCAGACAGCCAAAAAAACCACTCGACTTCTTTGGCTTGTTGATCAGGACCCTCATGTTAGTTTTCTACATTTTGTGATGATTCAGACAAGTTTGAGTTTGTTACCTCATCTTCCTCCTGGTACTGGTCATCCAGTGCATCTTCCTGTTGATCTGGGTTTCCAGCCATCTAAAAGCACACAAATCACAAGTTATTCTACATCCTTCCTCACTTTGATACCCCAGTTGAAAGGCTAATGAAAATGTTGAAAGTATAACGGCATAGTAGCCTCTGTCTGTAAACTTTCACTGTCCCGCCCAGAACGTCTGATCTGCTCAAGATAATTTAACAAAATGCCATATACACTGGTCGCAGTCTCCACACCATCCAGGACATCTACCACAGCCGATGTCTGCGTAAAGCACGCAGCATCATTAAGGACCACACCCACCCAGCACAAGGACTCTTCCATCTACTACCCTCAGGCAGACGATACAGGAATCTGCCATCGTACACGAAAATACTAAAAAACAGTGATTATCCACAAGCTGTCAGATTACTGAACTCTTGATAATAATACTGAACAACTGGGAATAACTTTGCACCAAGCCACATCTGTGACAACTAATATGACTAATATTAGCTTGTGACACCTAATAGGTTTGTTGCTGCTGCTCTATGTGGCTGTATCATGTATCGACTTTACCATCATAACTCAATATCACTGTTACTCACTACCTGTGCAATAACCTGTCACACAACCTGTGCAGTTTATGTTAATTATGTGCAATATATATCATGTGAATTTAAGCTCATATTACTGAAATACTTATTCATTCAAATTCATCCTACTTGCACCGTTATATTCTACCATGTTATTGTTTACTACATTTCTTCTGGACCTTGTAAATATTATATTTCATTTTCACTTTTTGGTACTTTATTTTGCACTTACTGTATGTTTGTCGTGGGCATATGCGGTACTCTTGTTCAACCTTGTACCTATTTCAGCACTTGAGGTTTTCCAGCTGCTGTAACCTCTGGAGCTTTGCATTTTGTGTTAGCTTCTGGGGGTTTTTTTGTATCTCTGTCCTCTTACTCACCACCAGTTCATCCTCCACAGCAGGATGTACGGGTCTCAGGTGGGTGTTAATGTGCTGGGCAGGAGCTGCCGGCTCCTCTTCCTCTTCTGGCCCTTCTTCCTCTTCGGCAACCCTGTGCGCTGGACGCTCGTCCTCTGCCTCCTCAAACTCGTCCTCTCCCTGGTTGTTGGGGTCGTCCTCAGGATCCACCTCACCGTCCACAGCAACCTGCAGAAGATGACAGAACATGAATTTGATGTCGGAGAGAAAAAAGTGGCTGACTAAAAAGATAAAAGTAACAACGGTGCAATGACCGTGGAGTAGGTGGTTTAAATTAGGCTAGAATATGATCAAATGGAAGGTTTGTGCATTGCAAGACAAATGGACAAATGCAGTAAGCTTTCATGGATTGATGAATCCATAAGTGAGAACATTTACTGACAAATGCTGAGGATGCTTTTTAATGGAGATAAAATTCACCTGATGTGGTGGAACCCGATGATCCGCTTCTCGTTTTTCCTTCTCTTCCTCCTCGTGTAACATGTGAACTCCCCTCTCTGCATAAAGAAAATGCATAAACAACATCCAGTAGAGCAGTCACCTGCCACTGACTGGATGGGTTTCCATTGGACCACACCTCCAAGTGTTTTTTCAGAAAACATTTTGAGCTGCATTTGTACCATGATGTGGTGATAATCATTGTCAAATCTTCTTTAGACCATTAAAATAACCAAAAAAAATCTTAATATCTGATTATTGAAGTCACACTTTTAGAAGTTCAATACTCATAAATTCACCTATTTATGCTTTAAAATGACTGAAAGCAGTTTATGTCCTTTATTTAGCATTTCAGTTGATGAAAGCCGAAATTAGCTGCAAATTCTTCTCTGCTGCACCACTACAGTGTTTGCTTCATTTTTTAAATCTGTTGTGCTTCACTTCTTACCTCCATTCCACAGCTGTGGGTCACTTTGTACTCTCATGTTGTACACTGTTAGAGTGAAATTAAACCTTGTGTTAGCATTTCATACCCATGTGCTGATCTTTTTTTTCTTTTTCTGCTTACTCTCGATGAAGGCAGACACTTCCTCCTCTGCTCCGTCCCTGCTTTGCTTTTTGTCTTGTGAACCTTTTTCAGAGGCCCTTTTTGCAAACTTCCAAACTGTAATCTAAAAAAGTTAAATCTGGTCCTCTGGACATTCAAAAAAACAAAACAAAGCAAATCAACAAAAAAATGTAGAAACGTTTCGTCTCTCATCCGAGAGACTTCCTCAGTCTGAGGAGCTGTTTTCAGCTCAGTCTCTTAAATAGTACCTTCTCAGAGTGGATCAACCAGTTTTGCTGCTGACAACCAAAACCAGCTGATCACATGCTCAAGAAGGACCATCAGCCTAACAATGGATCATTAGCACACTGATGGCTGTTTACTATTCACAGAGGGCTGAGTGATACTAGCAATCACAGCATTGTAAGAGGGGGACAGTTGAACCCGGAGGCCTCCACCCCTGTTTAATGATGGACGATTTCTTTTCACAAAGATGGCCTCCTTTACTCCTCTCTCAAACCATCGTTCCTCTCTGTCCAGGATGTGAACATCTTCATCCCTGAAAGAGTGACCGCTGGCCTGGAGATGAGTGTAGACCGCAGAGTCCTGGCCTGATGATGTCGATCTTCTGTGCTGGGCCATCCTTTTGGCCAGTGGCTGTTTAGTTTCCCCGATGTAAGACTGATCACCCTCCTGACACTGAACAGCATACACAACATTACTCTGTTTGTGCCGGGGGACTGGATCTTTGGGATGAACCAGTCTTTGCCGTAATGTATTTTGGGGTTTAAAAGCCACTGGGACGTTATGTTTAGAAAATAAACGTCTCAGTTTCTCTGATACTCCCTCAACATATGGAATGACCACTGGTCTGGATCTGGGTTCCTCCTTTTCACCTGATGGCTGACTGGAGTCCTGTTTGGGTTTCTTTTCTGCTTTCAGGAAGGTCCAGTTAGGATATCCACATTGCTCTAGAGCCTGTCTTGTGTAGGATTTCTCCTTCTGCCTGGCTCCTGAGCTAGTGGGGACGCTGTCTGCTCTGTGATACAGAGTCCTGATGACTCCCAACTTGTGCTCCAAAGGGTGATGGGAGTCAAACTGCAAATACTGGTCTGTGTGGGTGGGTTTGCGGTACACCTCAGTTTGCAAATGTCCTCTATCAGAGACTGAGACCTCACAGTCTAAGAAAGCCAACCTGCCATTTTTTACATCTTCTCGTGTGAACTTGATGTATTTATCCACAGAGTTGATGTGGTCAGTAAAATGTTGGACTTCCTGAGATTTAATTTTAACCCAGGTGTCGTCAACATACCTGAACCAATGACTTGGTGGTGTCCCTGAAAAGGACGTCAAGGCTCTCTTTTCTACCTCCTCCATGTACAGGTTGGCAACAATAGGAGAAACTGGAGACCCCATAGCACACCCATGTTTCTGCCTATAATATTGCTCCCCATATGTGAAGGAGGTTGACTGCAGGCACAGTTTCAAGAGTTGACACAGTTGTTCTGTAGAAAGTGTGGTCCTGCTGCTCAGAGTGGTGTCTGATTTTAATCTTAAACTGACCACCTCTACTGCATCATCAACAGGAATGCACGTAAAGAGTGATGTGACATCAAAAGAGACCATTGTTTCATCAGTCTCCATGATGACATCCCTCACCTTGTCCACAAAGTCCATGGTGGTCTGTATGTGGTGTTCTGAGCTGCCAACTAACTTAGTTGTCAGCAGCAAAACTGGTTGATCCACTCTGAGACGGTGCTATTTAAGAGACTGAGCTGAATACAGCTCCTCAGACTGAGGAAGTTTCTCGGATGAGAGACGAAACGTTTCTACATTATTTTGTTGATTTGCTTTGTTTTGTTTTTTTGAATGTCCAGAGGACCAGATTTAACTTTTTTAGATTTTTCTACCTGGATTATTGAGCATGCATCAGGATATTCCAAACTGTAAACTGTGGATTTGTTCAGCTGGTCTCTCAATGCAATTGATCAAATGTTCTCAACAAGAAGACAGGGTGAAGGAGAGCCCTCTTACCTCGAAAACACAATTGATTTATGATAACTGGATTCTGCTTTTTGGAGTCGGTGGAAATCTGGATTATTGACAAATATGGAAACGTCAGCAGCTGTTTAAGCTGTCTGCAATGTGTTTGCCAGGCTTGGCAACACTCAGACTCTGTGTGAACTATCTGTGGACATGTATCAAGAGCTGAGCAGGCAGGACTGTGGAACTTCTAGCATTGTTCATGGATGGTTGGAAGGAATAGGTCTTGGAGAAGTTGTAAGCATGACTTGGGCGTAAGTAATCACAATTCATCTGTTTGGAGTCGCCATGAGATGTACTAGTGAGACTGTAAAGGCAGACGCGGAAATTAACAATCTCGGCCTGACCCAAAACATTGTTGAAATCTGAATCTGGCTTTGGAAGGCTGACTATTTCAATTTCTCATTAGATGTTATGGAAACAAGATGCTCTGCTCCTCTCCGCACTCCCTCCCCTCCCTTATGATGTGGACCTGTGTCAGAGCTCAAATGAGCTGGCTGAGAAACACACACTTCTTATCAGGACTATGGCTGGAGGTGTGTGAGTGGGGGAGGGGGCTTCTGGACTGTGCTGTGCTATGACTTCCCCTCAAACTCATGCCTTCACCGGCCTCCCTCATTGCATCCCCTGGTGAAGCAACCTAGGAGATGCGAAGGCGCCAAAGGGCTGTGTCGCTCACCTGGCGGCCGTGCTGGGACCCCCTCCCCACCCGCTCCATACGCATGTTTTATGTCTATTTATGTTGCTTTTTCTGTGCTGAGGTACTTTTTGTTATCTTACACTGTGTCAAAGACGCAATGTGAGAGACTTTTTTAATACCTCCTTCCTTTCCCCACGTTTTTCACTTTCCTTATATAAAGAAAAGTTGGTGCTGCTCTCTGTGGCTGCAGCCTCAGACACTGGTCTCCCCCATGTCGGTTTTATTTTCTTGACGGATGTACTGAAATGAACTTTGCCTTTGGGATCAATAAAGTTTATTTATTTATTGAATGATTGATTATCATTGCATATAACTATCATCCCGATTCCCCAATAATCCCAGATGTAATCGTAACCAACTGAAAAACAAAGAAGTAGGTTATATTTGTATAGATTTACCCAAAATGTTCACACATCTACTCATTCTGTAGTATATATATATATATATATATATATATATATATAT